GAACAGGGTTTACTGCATGGGTTAAAATTAGGAGAGGTTTATTTCAGGGCTGTATCCTCTCACCATATTTATTCAATCTGTATGTTGAGCAAATAATCAGAGAAACTGGATTATATGAAGAATGCAGCACCAGGATTGGAGGAAGACTCATGAACAACTTGTAATGTGTAAGTGACACAATCTTGCTTGCTGAAAGTAAGGAGGATTTGAAGAAGTTCTGATGAAGATCAACAATAACAGCCTTCAGTATGGATTACAACTCAGTGTAAAGAAAACAAAAAAGTTCACAACTGGGCCAGAAGGTAACACCATGACAAAGGGAGAAAAGGTTGAAGTTGTCAAGGATCTTGTTTTGCTTGGATCCACAATCAATGGAAGCAGTAGTCAAGAGACCAGAGGCCACAGAATATCAATTAATCTGATGCACCTGTGTTGAAAAGCAAGGGTGTTCTGTTTCGTTTTTTGAGGACTAAGGTGTGCCTGAAACAAGCCACTTTATTTTCAGCTGTCTCATATGCATGTGAAAGTTGGACACTTAATAAGGAATTCAGAAGAAGAATTGATGCATTTGAATTACAGTGCCAGTGAAGAGGATTTAAAATAACTGCAAAAGGAATAAACAAATCTATCTTCAAAGAAGTGCAACCAGAATGCTCTCTGGAGGCAAGTGATGGAAAGACTTCACCTCATATACTTTGCACACATTGTCAGGAGGGACAAAAACCCAACAACTCACCGCCATTGACTCCATTCTGACTGACAGAGACCCCGTAAGGATAGTCTTCATGGGTTTCTGAGACGGTAATGCCTCGTGCGAGTAGAAAGCCTCATCTTTTAGAGGGACTGTGGAAAAGAGGAAGGCCCTCCATCAGAGGGATGGACACAGTGGCTGCAACAATGGGCTCAACCGTAAGCACAATTGTGAGGCTGGCACGGGACCAGGCAGTGGCTCCTTCCATTGTGTATAGGACCAGGAGGAGTTGTAATGGACTCAAAGGCACCTGCATCTACCAATAGTGTTTTTCTTTTCATTTTTCATAATTGTTGTTATTGCTCTTAAGTGAGACACATTTGCTTCTAAAGAGCTTTCTGGCTGTATTTCCTCCCAAACTAAAACAAAAAACCAAACTCATTGCCATCGAGTGCTTGCTGACTCAGCGTGACCAGATAGGACAGGGTAGACTTGTGAGTTTCCAAAACTGTAACTCTTTAAGGGAGTAAAAAGACTCCTCTTTCTCCTCCACAGCAGCTGGCTGTTTTGAACTGCTGACCTTTCAGTGAGCAACCCAATATGTAATCACTACGCCTTTAGGGCTCCATTCCTAAACTTAACAGCATGTGTTAATTTTCATGTCAAATTACAATAACATGAAATACAAAGGGGAGCTTTTACCTTGGGTTATTACCATAGTGTAATAATATGGAGCGTAATATGAAAGAGCACTCTAAAACCAAGGGACTTGTCATAATTAAAATGACTGACATGGGTCTAAATCGGATGCCATTTTATCTTAGGCCCATTTTTCTGTTCTTTAGACTACACAACCTATGACCGTAACTTTTTTTGACCAAGATATTTTGTTCTGCAATAGTCTGAGGTAGCTCACTCAGAGTACAACAGGAAAAGAAGGCGCCACCTCTTGTATTTAGGATTAGTGAACCAGCCAATAGTAAATAGTGATCAATGAGTCTTACATAGCACATTGGGTGTCAACAAATTTAATATGCCCCCATACTCTTGTCCCACTCTGTAAAAAGTCTTGATAAAATGCATATGTTCATATTTCTTAATCAGAATATCACTTTAAGCATTTCCTTTTAGTTCTTCCAAATTTGCAATTTTTAAAGCTGAATAAAACTATTTTACAGTAATGCTTCATATTTGACAGTAGGTCAACTGTGTATGCTGATGACTAACCTGCTTCCATTAAGAGTACAACCAAGAAAACCCTATAGAGCATTTCTAATACTGTGGCATTGTGTGATACTCACCTTCCGTGTTAGTCCGGGTAGACTAGAGAAGCAAATTTATAGACACTCATATGTGTATAAGAAAGAGCTTTATATTCAAGAGCAATAGAATAGTGAGAAAACATCCCAGCCCAGTCCAGATCAAGTCCATAAGTCTGATAGTAGCCCATATGTCCGATACCAATCTATAAAGTCCTCTTCAGACTCACGAAGCACATGCAATGACGCCAAAAGGAAGCTCACAGGCCAATGGGTAGTAAATCTAAGGTATGACAGGCATGGTACATATTCTGGGTGCCTTTGGAAGTGGGGTGCTATCTCAGTTTCCAGTGACCTCCATAAGAGATCATTCAACAACTTAAAACTCTTGTCCATAGATAAACCTCTGTCAGCGGCACACAAGTACCATATGGTAAATATGATGACTATGCAATTCTAAGCCAAATCTGTGTGACTCTACAACTCATTCACTGCCAAGAGGTTGATTCCAACTGAAAGTGACTCTATATGACAGAGTGGTTTCTAAGACTATAAATCTTTTATAGGAGTAGAAAACCTCAACTTTCTCTTTTGGGGCCATTGGTGGTTTTGTACTGCTGACCTTGTGGTTAACATTCATCTCAGTGTGGTTTCCAGCATTATGATGACTCTTGCCTACTTTCAGTGCATTTTAGTTCCCAGGTTGTATAAGTTAGGTTGGTTCTGTCTCCAGAGATTATGCCTAGGCACATCCTGGGTACTTTTGAAACCCATTTATCAGCCAGTGTTAATACCTTCAAATATCCTGCCTCTGGGTTTTCATTTCTTTAATAAAGAATTAACCAAACATTCTCAAGTTTTGCCAAGGAATCTAGATAAATCTTCCCAACTTGATCTTAACATAACTAATTGCTCTATATCTATCGCAAACACATGCTACATATTCTTCTCATATTATCCTTTCTTTACTGCAGTTTTCATGTTTCTGTGCTACTAGCTTGCTGTGGGGCAATGAAGTATTTCTCTGCTACTCTGGTTTGGAGTGGCCTTTTCTAGTGGCAGATCAGTAGAGCATTTCAGATTTGAAATGCTAACGCCATAGAGATTTGACGTGGGGCCAGGGGTGGCAAAGGAGCAAACAAATCAGGCACTCACTGAAGATATCCTGAGTTAGTTCCACAGAAGAAAGATACCCTTTCTACAGAACAACTTGAGTGGGCATACCAGGAAACCAGGACTATGAGGTTGATCATACTTAAATACCACAGTGGTTAGCAGAGAGTCTCAGATGAATCAAAGGCCACAATTGATAGGAGGATGCTTCACATATTTCAAAAAATTATGCATATATGTATATATATAAAGAACCAGATAACTCTTTCACCAAAAGGTGTATTTATATTATCAAACTAGAAAATGACCAGGGCCACACCCAGAAGGACACCCTGGAGAGATCTAGGCAGAAAGGCTCTTAGAGGGCGCCCTGATGCCATTATCATGGTTTGCTCCTCCTCTCAGTTTCTCTCAGTTCCACGGCTGTGTCAGGGCGATTCTGTTTCCAGGGATCATGCCTAGTCGCATCTTGAGTACGACTCCCAGGTCCTACCTGCACATTTTCCTGCCTCAGACATCTCACAGAAATTAGAATTCCCATGGCATAGTCAGCTTCTTTCATTCTCTAAATTCTTTTCTGATTGGTCAGGAAAACGAATGGCAAATCTATCCTTAAATTTTCACTATATGATACTTCATTGATTTTCCAAAGCACTTGCCCATTGAAATCACCTGGGAACTTTGACATTTTATTGATGCCATGCCCACATATTCTAGTTTCCACGGTAAGAAATTGTGGTCGGAGCACAGAGAGTTTATGCAAGTTCCGCTGGTGAGGGTCAAACAAGCTTAAAGGCACTGCCCTCTTGCACAGCAACACCATAGGGCAGGGTAGACCTGCTCCTGTAGGTTTCCCAGACTGTAACTCTTCACGGAGTAGAAGTGGTTGGCAGACCAATGCGTAAGCACTAGCCCACCAAGGCTCTCTCCAGGTGACTGTAAGGGACGTAAAAGTTTGATAAACAGCAGATTCTGAAGGATAACCCCATTTAAGTGACAGAGATCTTATTCACTGCAGTCCAGTCAATGCTGACTCCTAGTGGCCCCTGTGGACTTTCCAAGACTGTAACTGTTTGCCGGAGTAGCAAGTCTAATCTTTCTCCTGTGCAGTTTATGGTGGTTTAATTACTGCTGACCGGGCTATTACATTTCCTCTATTTTTTCATGGGGTGGTGAGGAATTAGAAGCCAGGAGCATTAAAGGCAAGCTTTCTTCTGGTTCTTTAATGCTTCCCGCCCCCCACCCCCCCATCCCCGGCCCCTCCACCAGCACTGTCATGACCCTAATTCTACCTTACAAATCTGGTTAGACCAGAGCATGTACATGGGTACAGATAAGAGCTGGAAACACAGGGAATATAGGACAGATAAACTTCTCAGGACCAATATTGACAGTAACCATACCAGGAAGGTAAAAGGAAGGTGTGGGGAGAAAGGGGGAACTGATGACAATGACCTACCTATAACTCCATCCCAGAGGGATGGACAACAGACAAGGGGGTGGGAGGAGACATCAGACAGTGCAAGACATGAAAAAAATAATAATTTGTAAATTATCAAGGGTTCACGAGAGAGGGAGGGGAAGGGAGGGGGAAAATGAGGAGCTGATACCAAGGGCTGATATCAAGTAGAAAGAAAATGCTTTGAGAACGATGATGGCAACAAATGCACAAATGTGCTTGAGACAATGGATGTATGTATGGACTGTGATAAGAGTTGTGTTAGCCCCAATAAAATGATTTAAAGAAAAGAGAAAGTGGTGGGTGATATTATTATAAATGTCAGAGAGAAAGAGAGCTTTAAGAAGAAGATGTACTTAAATAATTTCTGACATGAACAGGGATAATATGAGAAAAAGATGTAGCCAAGAGGGTGGATTGGATGTAGAGCAATTGATATGGGTCTAAAGGGATTGAGCTGAGATCAAGTTGGGAAGATTTATCTAGACTCTTTGGCAAAATTTGAGAACATGTGTTTAGCCCCTTCCAAAATCTGTTTCGCCCTCACTCCATAAATAATGGGATTGCGCATGGGTGGGATGACCACACAGATGTTGGCTAGGAGAATGTGGACATAGCGTGGGATACGTCTTCCACCAAACCTGTAGGAAAAGACAGAAAAGAGGCAGGGGAAATAGAAGAGTATGATGACACAGACATGGGTTCCACAAGTGGTCAGCACCTTAGACTGCGCATCTCAAGAGGGGAGGCAGAAGACAGCTCGGAGAGTGTGAATGTAGGAACTGGAGATAAGAAAGATGTTCAGTCCTGTAGAGAGAAGGGCAACTACTAATCCATACCAGACATTGATGGAGATATCTGAAGTAGACAGACGGGCAATGCCTATGTGCTCACAAAAAGGATGTGCAATAATGTTGCTTCGGCAATAGTGCAAGTGCTTCAGAAGAACAATGGATGGAAATTGAGGACAAAGCTTCTGGTCAGGCTGGCAGTAATGATCTTCCCAATGACTGTAGTTGTGAGGATTGTGGCGTATCTCAGAGGAGAACAGATGGCCATGTAGCGGTCAAACCCGATGGCCAGCAGGATAGCAGAGTCTGCTATGAAGAGGACGTGGAGGAAGAACATCTGAGTGAGGCAGCCATCAAAGGCAGCCATCAAAGGCGAGACCCAAACCAGAAGTTGGCCAGAACCTTAGGCATGGTGGAAGTAGAGAGAAGAACATCAATACTGGCTAGCACAGATAGGAATATGTACATGGGTTCATGCAGGCTTGACTGGGAGAGGATGACCCAAATTAGAATGCCATTGCCAGCGAGGGCAGCTACATACATGGCACATACGGGGATAGAGAGCCAGATGTGCAGGTGTTCCAGCCCAGGGATGCCAGTGAGGAAGCAGCCTGCCACATGTGGGTCAAGTTGTTCAAAGCAGCTAGGCTACTGGCAGATGCAAGGGCCATATTTTTCTGTAGATCCCTCACCTGTGTCATAAGAAGATAGCTTCAGAAATTGAACACACTGGCAGAATAAACATAAAAGCTTGCAATGACCACAAGATCTGCACAGTATCATAGGGGCTACACACACTTGCAGGTTCTACAACATTGGCTTGACACACAGACACCTTCTCTATAGACATTCATATGTGGGTTCTGCCTAAGGGTATGCTTATAGAACAGGCCTATAGACAACCTGTGTTTCCTTGTTGCTGATGTTGCTAGCTGTCATAGAGTCAGTGTCCCTAAGCACAGTGCTGGGAAGTGCTGCCTACTCCTGTACCCTTCCATAGTCAATGGATGATCAGACTATTGTGATTCATAGTTTTCATTGAATGCTTTGCAAAAATAAATCACCAGGCCTTTCTTCCTAGTCTGTCCTAGTCTGAAACCTGTTCAGTTATCACAGCAATATATAAGCCTCCAGTGACTGATGAGCAGTGGCAGTACATAAGGTACAAGACTACATGGCTGGGGTTTCTTGGATCAGAAGAGAGAATTCAACCATCGAACTGCCAAAGCTCCCCTCTGTTTCTTACTCAGTCCTTTTGAGGCTTGCTCCATGGGTTCTCCACAATCTGCGAGGCTTCCAAAGCCAATAAGACTTGAAAGCATTGCCAGACTCGGCACCGTTCTTCAGAAACGGGAACCAGGAGAGATAGCTAAAACCTCACAAGCCATGTCCAGGAGTATGAAGACGGTGGTGAGCTCTATAAAGCCCTAAACTCTGCCTAAGAGACTCCAGAGAGACACTGCCTTTGCTTAGCAGTCTTCATGGAACGATAGAGTCAGGATTGGGGGGCACTGCCACTCATTACCCTGAGTCAGGACACTGACCAGCAGGGGTCCATGGAGGCAACAATGGCATTTAGAGAACAAAGGAACACACAAAGACCATTGGGCAACCAACCATGGGAAACCACTTGGGTCAAAGATCATACTCTGTTATTGGTTGGGCAATTCACTGATCTTTAAAATTAGTAGAATTTTGTGTACTTTGTACAGTCAATTAAACTGTGTCTGTACAAAACTTATTAGAGAGTGTCGTGTTTTCTGGGTCACCTCTGTGACTGTGGACTGTTATAACTCCCAGGGCAAAGAGAAAGGCACGGAACAAAGGTCCTGAAAGTGTGTCTGTCAGGGTCAGCATCATCAGGGAATTCACAGCTTCTTGGCTCTCCCTTCAAACTGAATTAGTGTAGATTCCAGGATAGGGACTGGCAAGTCTTGCTTTAAAAGGCTTCCAAGAGCCTCTAAGATATGATAAAGTTTGTGAGCCACTAGTGTTAATCACTTTTTTTTCTTGCTTATCTTTTCTAAGGAGTCCTTGGATTGTGCAGAGAAGCGCTCGTTCTTTGTAACCAAAAGAGTGGTGGTTTGAATCTACCAATTGTGACCCACAAGAAAGACCTGGTCACCTATTTTTGAAAATTACAACTCATTAGCAACGTCCACACTTCCATCCCTTTTCTGGCCAGAACAGTAATATCTCTGTCACTTGTATTTCTTTCACATACACCCTCGGAAGGCTCAAACTTCCCTTTGAATAACAGGGACCAAATTCTTCCCCATTTTATTCCCTTCAAGGAAATCCACTACCATCCAATTAATTCTGACTCATAGAGGCCTTATTGGGTTTTTGAGTTTGTAAATATTTATAGGTGCAGACAGCCTCGTCTTTTATTCCCTTAGTCTTTACAAATCTTCATCCTGACTCACAATCCTAACTGTTGCTCTGAGTTAGCAGTTTTGTTTGGTAAATTTATAAACTGAGAAATTTATATTTGTGTATGTATAGTTTCCACGGAAACTTCTCTGTCATCTTTCGACTCCTCTCTTCTTAGCTTCATAGCAATTACTCCCTCAGTGTTGCCTCTAAATGCCTCTCCTGTCCTGTCCTGCCCATCATTTCCTCTCTTCCATACCACCAGCACACCAGACAGGTTTATTTCGGCAATAACAGAGCAGATCTAGGCCATCAACCACAAACTCTTTTGTCTTCTTCTCTTGTTTTCCCCTCTTAACTCTTTTTCACTATCCCTTGGCTTTCTTCTGCCATTTCAGGGGCATTCCACCACGGATTCTTTGAATCCTTGCCTGTCTGATCCATTTGGCAACTTCATCTACATATAACCTCCTCCCTGGGGGACGGACAACAGAAAAATGGGTGAAGGGAGACGTCGAACAGGGAAAGATATGACAAAATAGTAATTTATAAATTATCAAGGGTTCATGAGGGAGGGAGGGGAAAAATGAGGACCCGATTCCAGGGGCTTAAGTGGAGAGCAAATGTTTTGAGAATGATGAAGGCAATGAATGTACAAATGTGCTTTACACAATTGATGTATGTATGGATTGTGATAAGAGTTGTAGGAGCCCCTAATAAAATGATTTAAAAAAATAATAATAATTTATAAATTATCACGGGTTCATGAGGGACGGGGGCGGGGAGGGAGGAGAAAAATGAGGAGCTGATATCAAGGGCTCAAGTAGAAAGCAAATGTCTTGAGAAAGATGATGGCAGCAAATGTACAAATGTGCTTGATACATGGATGTATGTGTGGATTGTAATAAGAGTTGTACAAGCCCCCAATAAAATGATTTAATTAAAAAAAAAAAAAGAGCACCCTGGTTGCACTTCTTCCAAGACAGGTTTGTTTGTCTCTTTACTTTCGTGGTACTTGCACTTTTCCTCCCCAGCACCAACATTCAAATGCACCGATTCTTCTTTATTCAATGTACCACTTAGCATGCATCTGAGGCAATTAAAAATGCCCTGGCTTAGTACTCAAAGTAGCATCCCCTCAAAACAAATCCTTGCTTTTCAATACCCTTAAAGGAACATCCCTGTTTCTCATTCCTCTAAGGAGGTCTTGTGCAGCAGAACATAGAATGTTAAAATCAGAGCAGGAATATTGAAGACTAGTTTTCAGGAGAGAGGACATAATATCAACCTGCTTCAGGAGTTTCCAAAAATAAGATCAGGCTTGACTTGGAATTATTATTGTTAATGGAGATTTAGCTTATATACAATGAAATCACCCTTTAAAATGTACAACTCGGTGTTGTTTTTTTAAATGTATTTACTAGATTGGGCAACCATCATTACTAATTTCAGAATATTTTCAACACCTTAAAAACACACCCAATATTGATTAGCAGTCACTTCTAATACTCTAATATTTAGATCTGAGCGGAAAGATTCTAGAGTGCTTTTAAGGCTGCGAGCCTTCACTCTCCTTTCTAAACATGTATTCCATTTCTGTCTTTTGTTTTTTAAAACCCACATTCTACGTAGTTGCTCTGCCTATCTCAACCGCTGACGTCAGCGATCTTCTCCTGGGACCCTCCCCTCGGAATGCGGTTCTCCTTTGTTCCCCTCCCACCCCTCTCCCTCCCTCTGGAATTTCCTACCCTTCCCACAGCCTGCCCTGCCCCATCCCTAGTCTCCTTGTAGTCTTTGGACTTTTATCTTTTGGTGTAAAAACACTTTTGTTTGATTTTCCTTATAATAATGGTGTAATTAACAACTTATCTTTATAAGATTGACTATCTTTGCTATGATAATGCTCTCTAGTTTTATCCAGGTCGAGCAGTGTTTTAGAGAATCTTCATTGATTTTTATTGATACATAGTATTGTATTATATGAATGTAGCAGAGTTTGTTTATTCATTTCTCTACAATAAGAGCTTTGCCTATTTTCATGTTTTTGATATTATGGAAATTCTGCAATAAGCATAGGGGAGTATATGTCTGTTCATGGTGTATTCTTTCTTTCTTTGGGGCATATACCCAATAGAGAGGTTCCAAGATCCTGAGATAATTGTGTTGACATTTAAGGAAGCACCATACAGATTTTGTTTATGATTTTGAATTCATCCCACATTTTTATACCACTCTATGCAGGATCTTCAAATGTGATCTTTTGCAGAATAGTTGATCGTGGTAGCTGGATACCATATAATTCTAGTTTGCCTTGATTTTCGCTTATGTCACTAAGGGTGTATATATTTTCCATAATTCTTAGGTAATTTTTCTTTAGTCCTGTAGTGCAGCAGTTTTCAACCTGTGGGTAGCAACCCTTTGAGGGTCGAAGGACCCTTTCACAAGGGTTGCCCGATTCATAACAGAAGCAAAATTAGAGTTATAAAGTAGCAACAAAAATAATTTTATGGTTGGGGGTCACCATAACTGAGGAACTGTATTAAAGGGTCACGACATTAGGAAGGTTGAGAACCACTGTGTTAATGGATTGGTCTTTTAATCAAAATATAATATCTTCTTTATCTTTAGTGGTACATTTTGTACTAGTCTAGTTTATTAGAGATTAATGTTTCCATTAGTGCTCTTTTAACTTATTATTTATTTATTTAATCCAAATTGCAGCTTATTATTTATTTTAATTTATTATTAATTGGGAGCTAATACATATATCATATCATTCCTATTTGAATCATGTAAAGTAGTATTGTACAACTGCTACAATACTACAATCAGTTTCCAAGCATTCTTTTTTTTTTAACTTTCCTTTTAAAAAAAAAATCATTTTATTGGGGGCTCATACGGCTCTTATCACAATCCATCCATCCATTCATTGGGTCAAGCACATTTGCATATTTGTTACCAAACATTCTTTTTCTTCCTGGATTCCTTCACATCATCTCCCTTTTAGTGGCCTACCCTCCACCCCACCACCACTGTATAGTGCTCTATCTAGACTATTGTTTGCTTGGTACATTTATTTGATCATTGCATCTTAGTGATGTACTTGTGTCTAAGATAGCATATTGATGTGTTGCGTTTCTCTAGCCATCCTACCACTCTATTTCTGATTGCTTCATTTCAGCTTATTACATTTACTGTGATTATTGATATGTATGAGTTTACTGTTGCCAGTTTGGTGAGCAATGGGCAAGAAAGGAGAAGAATGCTGGGATATAGAACATGAGGATGACACAGACATGAGAGCCACGGGTGCCCACAGCCTTCTGGT